GTACCATGACTCCCAGGACACTGGTGGCCCTGTCCAGGCACAGGACTCTGGCTTATCCTGTGCAAGATGCTGGCTGGCCTATACTTGATGCCAGCACTCAGCAGATTCCACAGTGACAGCAATGACAGTAACATTGTAAGATAATGGTAGATGACACCCACTAAGTGCTTACCAGGCACTGAACACAATTATCCATGCTTGACACCTATTACTCACTAACAATAACGTCTTCAAGGCTGCACTGTGCAGTGTGGAGTGGCTCACTCATCTCATAAGTGAAGGTAGTTGTGCAGCTTAGCAACCTCTAGCAGGTGGCACCAGTTGACCTTGGATATTCCTGGCACATGATTTCCCACAGGTGGCATCAGTTGACTGTGGGTATTTCATGGTAGGTGACCCAGGAAGCAAGTCTAAAAGCCTAGTCTGAGAAATCCAGGCACCTGCCTTATTTGCATGAATCCCTTGGTCTTCACTGGTGGCAGCTGACCTTGGGGAGGGGCTGGCTGCAGTTGTTAATTGTGTTTCTTGTAGTAAAAGGGACAATGAGTGGCTACCATAGCTGCAGGGACCAGCTGTTGAGGTCACAAGTGCAAGGCTTCACATGTAGCATCCCACGTGTGCATGTCCAGTGTGCTGTTGTGGGACAGTCATGGGAACATGAAGAAGGAGTGCCTTTCACCATCCGGGTCAGGATGGAGGAGCACAGGTGGAGAAAGGATGCAATAAGCATCTCAGTAAAAGGGACCCTCTGCAGTGCCTTCCCGTGATGCTGTGGGGCGGCTGAGCTTGGGCCCATAGGGCAGAAGAAGGCCCACAATAAACAAGGCTGCCTCACCCAAGCCATCCAACCCATCAGCTTCTGTGGGTGGAATTTGAGTCCTAGCTGTCCCAGTTCAGGCCACAACAACTCCCATTAGAGCACATGACAGGCAGCTTGTGCTGGGTAGGATAGCCCTGCCCACCCACAGGAAGGAGACTGGCAGATATCCAAGGGTGCTTGATCTGTGACCCGGGTATGCAGGCAGAGGTGGAGTGGACCTAGGGAACACTGGGGTCCATGGGATGGTTGAGAGCCTTGGGCTTGGACAGTTAGCCACACCTCCCCACATCCTTGAGAAAGGCCGGCACAAGGACAGCCGTTTGATGGCTGAGGGACATGAGAGGGATGCCTGCTGTGGTTCAACATGGGTGTGCTTTGATCTCAGGGTTAGTTACTAAAGCAGCATGTGGCTGTGCGGATGCATCTTCCTTATAATTATGTCCGTGTTTTTCTTCCTCTGTCTACTTCCAAACACTCCCAGCCCTAGAGCGGAGACAAAAATTCCACTTGGCTGCCCACCATGCCCACTGACTCGAGAGCTGACATCATTTATTCCAGACAGAGTCCGGGAACTTGTCTCCCGCCCACCCCCTCCCAGTCTACTCCTGGGCCACGATGGCACTTGGTCTGGCCCTGAGACCCAGCACTTGGCTTGGCCCTTCCTCCTCCCATCAGCTGCAGTTTAGCAGCTACAACCTGTGAACCTACACAGATGCAATGCACTCGATGTCACCTTTGGGTCTTTTCTCTGTAGAGAGCTGCTTTAAGCCCAGAGCAGCTCTTGTGGCTCCGGCTAGACTGACATTTTCCTGTCCTAGTTCTGTTATCTGGGCGGAGCCCCAACTTCCGGCTTCAGGGCCAGCAAGGCAGGCTGACTGGATCGAGTCCCACATCTCTGTCTGGCCAGCATTGTTTGGAAGGGCCTGGCCCCTTCCAGCTTTCTCAGGGTAGAAAGGCTGGAGACTGGATGCCTGGCCCCTGTCACAGCAGCTTGCCCAGGAGGACACAAGCTTGGCAGTTAGAGTACTATTGCTGACTTTGATATCTGCAGAACATCCGCCCTCAGAATCTGTACGATGCCTTGCAGAATCCCAGCTGCTGTTGTGCCTGGTATGCAGGGGTCTGCTGCTCAGGGTGCAGCCTCTCCTATTGTGGCCTGTTTCATTTGCTGCTGGTGGGGTTCTATCCCGCTATATATCCCTTACAGGAGGTCTTCTGCTGGTCATAGCTCCAGCAAGGGCTGGCATCTCTTCCCTTTCCCTTGGAACATGGGTCCCCCAAAATATCCAAATAGTAACAGCTGATGGGAGTGTTCCCCGTGGAAGGCTCACACTGTGCCTGCCCGCCAGAAGCTGGAGCTAGGTGCTAGTTAGCTGCTTCCTGCTGCCTTATTTAAGTGATGCTTTCACCTGACCTTCATCATGACCCTGTGAGATTGTTAGCCAGGGCTAGTCAACCTCTTTTGTTGATCATGGGTGGATCTTTGCCTGGGCCACTTGAGTTGGAATGGTGCCAGGATTAGAGGGGTGGAGGGACTCAGAGGCAGATCACAGAGGAGTGTTGGGTCAGCAGATGGGTGCTATAGGACACGGTGATGCTGGACACAGGTCCTTGCCGGCAGCTTGTGGCCTGCAGATTCTGGGTGACAGAGGGGTCCGTGTGGCCTCAGCATTAACAGGCTGGTAGGGGAGCATGAGGTCAGGACAGGGCACAGGCAAGCAGGGCCATGGGCCTTTGTGCCTTCTGCTCAGATTTGCCCTCAAGTTCATTAAAAAAATAAAAGTAATTAAGAGGAAAGAGTTGTGGAAATATTTAGAAAGGTAGTGGTTTGGTCCCAGTAGGTTTGTTTCCTTTCATCTCCATGCTTGTCATTATGATTTTAAAACATAAACCTTTGTTATTTTATATGGGAAAGAAAAAAAAAAATAAACGTTTGGAGAGTTTGAAAAGCTCCAGAACCACGCTGTACATGTGTTTGTATATTTAAGCAATTCCGAGAGTTTCTAATCCCTCGCTTGCTCTTAGTGGTCAGCATTTTGTAAACCTGCGTTCCTCTCGGCTCTTGGGGAATTTGCACAGCTTCTCTGTACTTAAGCTAGGGCCAGTTAGTATTTCTGTTCCCAAAGAAAATAGCCCGTGCTGGGGGTGTCTGGGTGGGAACTGCATCCTTGGGTTTCTTCCCACACTGTGTGATTCATTCATCGTTTGTTTATTTTTAAATACAGAGGACGGTTATTAGAACGGCCTCTCTCTTATTCAGCACATGTATATATTCATTTACCTTTAATTGTAAAGCAATTCAGAAATAATTTTCTCTGTCTTGTCTCACATCTGTTTAGGTTCTTAACTCCCCTGTTCTTGGAACTATGACTATTAAATGCTTGTGACGATCGAGAGGTTCTTTTTTATGGATATGCAAGCAAATTCTAACTTGTGATTTTGCCATGTATTTTGCCCTGGCAGAGCAAGGCATTACACACAGTGCCCAGCACTCGGCTTCTCTCAACACCACTATCTTTGCTCACTTGGTTGCAAATCCTTCCTCCTTCCTTTCCCAGCGAAGGAGGCACCTGTAGATTTTCCATGACCCGCTCAGCCAGCCCACAGCTCAATAGTAGTCGGGCTATTTCTAATCAAATGCTTTTATAAACAGTGTAGTAAGCAGATACGGCAACCCACACAGGTAATCCCAGCACTCTGGGAGGAGGATCACAAGCTCAAACCCAGCCTGGGCATCTTAGTGACTTATAGAGCCCTGTCTCAAAATAAAAACTTCAAAGGGCTGGAGATATAACTCAGTATGAAGGCCCTGAGTTCAATACCCAGTATTAAAATAAGTAAACAAATCATAACAACAAAATGAATAGCACAGTGGCACCTAACCCTATACCTTCTGCTCGCATCATCTCACACACATGCACAGACACCCCTGCAGTGAACCCCCACAAGAGGAGCTCTCTGAGCCCCTGCGATGTTGACCCGTGCTGCTGAGCTGTTCTCAGGAAACCTTCCGCTCCTCAACCTCACACTCTGGGACAAAGACTGCTGCACCTCGATCTGATTTGGAAAAGTAGAGGCGCAGTCGCTGTCAGCCTGGCCTGCTCTCCCAGGAGGGAGTGTGAGCATGTTGCCCCATGGAACAGAGCCTCTGCTTCGGACCGAAGCCGCCCATGGGTGCCTTTGTTCGCTGGATACCAGCAATGGGCCACGTTCCTGCGGACCTCCAGAATATCTTCACAGGTTGAGGAGGGAGCCTCTCTGGCAATCACACCCACCTGGTTGGAACCTGAGGACAGGCAGTACCAAGGGATGTCCCTGTGGGGCATGGAACCAGTGGGAACCATGGAACCGTCCACCCATACGGACCTGAGTAATGTGGACAAGCTGGCTCCAGGTCCCTCCAGGGAAACTTGGACTTTAAATAGCACCTCATAAATCACCGATAGGCCACCAGAGGAGGTTTGTGGATGCACTGCACCTAGAAGGCCAAGCATGGGGCGGCTTGTGAGTGTTTGCTCTCTAGGAAGAGCGCTGCTCAGAGTGCTGCTGGCACCTGTAAGCCTGCGCCGCCTTTGCTGTAATCCAAGGCTTTTCGTGGCAACACTGGATTAACACAGATAACACATGCAAAGACACTCAGACTGCAGGGCCTGGCTCCCTGGGTTGGCCAAGTGCGTAACACAACCTTCTTGGGGTGAACTCCCTTCATCTGTGCAGCAGCAGACGTGCTGGTGAGCACGGGGACCCTGGATGTCCTGGCACAACCTTCAGAGCCTCCTCAGTGCTGACAGGTGCTTTGCATGGGCAGGAATCTCAGGTTTAGCAGAGCCCAAGCAGAAGTTTCTAGTGGTGTCTTTAGTATGCTTCGGTATGCAGCCCAGCCAGCCAGTGTGACCAATTAAGCTGGGTAAGCCGTCCACCCATATGGCCCTAAGTAATGTGGACAAGCTGGCTCCAGGTCCCTCCAGGGAAACTTGGACTTTAAATAGCACCTCATAAATCACCGATAGGCTCATCTTATTGCCTTTATCTTGGCCAAGGCTGGGTCCCTGGAGAGCGGTGTGGAGCCGCCCCGCCTGGCCGTGGGACAGTCCTCCTTACACAGCTGCAAGAGCTCTCAGAAATGAGGGCTTTGTAGCAAATCAGCCTTTGGCTTCACCAAGCCCTTTCTCTTCTACAGCTCAGGGGAGACTGTAACTAGCGTGACCAGCTTGGCACCACTGCAGCCAAAGAAAGGCAAGAGGCGGAAAGAGAAGGTGGACGTGCCCCCTGCAGTCCCTGCCAAAGGTGAGGGTGGCTGGGGCTGACGTGGGATGGGGATGGGCTGGAGGGCGACCTTCCATGGATCGTGGATGGGCCATCCCACTTGGCTTCTGCTCAGGACTGATGCTCCACCAAGGGGGGATGGGTGGCCCAGAAGAGGTTGGAGAAAGTTCAATATCCACAGAGAAATCTACATAGCATTTCCCTGTGAGCTTTTATTTATTTGTTTAAATTTATTTATTTATTTATTATTTACTTGGTACAGGGTCTCGCTATACAGCTCAGATTCATAGTGATCTTCCTGTTTTCAGCCTCCTCAGCACTGGGATTATAGGCATGTGCCACTACACCTAGCTTAAAGGAACTTTTTTTTTTTTTTTTTTGGCTGGCTCAGGCTGCCTTAAGGGCAGGTCTGGTGTGGCATGTGTAGCTGGGGATCGAACCGTGGTCCCTTGTGCCTCACTGAGTTTGTCCAAGCAGGCACTTTATACACCTGAGCTAACCCACAAGTGCACCCCCCATACACCTGTAAGCTTTTAAAATGTTACACATGGTGAGGAGTGTCCAGGGGCTGTTTGCACCTTTCAGTCCACTTCCACAGAAAGAAGGCTTTTCAAAGATGCACCTCTGGTATGCAGTGCCTTTTAGGTTTGTTCTTAGGATACAATGATAGCTATTCGGTGATTGCAGTCTCCATGTAGAGCCCCATGAGTGAGGTGTTTTCCAAGCCTTAGGAGAACCAAGGCTGCCTGCAGACAGTTGCTAAGATAACTGGGCAGCTTAACTGCCCATACCTCAAGAGATCTTAAATACAGTTGGGAGGACAAGGACTTCCAGGTGTGCCATGTAAGATGCATAGGGTAAGATGTATCTTTCTCCATGCCTCATGCTTAGCAAGATGAGTCCAGAAGCACCTTGAGGTGCAGGCTCCAGCCATGGGTAGATAATACCCTGCCTCTTGGAGAGTTAGATCACAGAGCTGGGCTTTCAAGGCCAAGGTCGAATCTCAAATAGCTCCTGGGTGGAACGACAGAGAGGGTCTCTCCAGTGACCTAGTGGTGACCTGTGTAAGGACCTGTCATGGCTCTCCAGGTCTGTGAGCCAGCAGGACAGAAGTCCCCAGGAAAGGGCCCAGTCCTAGCACCCAGTGCACCAGGACAGATGCAGAGCTGTTTTGCTGACCCAGCCCAGGGAGAACTAGATGTGTCCAAAGGCCAGGGAGGACCCCTAGCCCATGAGGAGCAGCCTGTGGAACCTTGTTCAGAAGCTGGGGTCCTTCTGTGCAAGGGTCCTGTAGGGGTCACCTGTGTGATGCCACAGCAGGTGGGCTACCGGGGACCAGGAGGAGGAATGAGCTAAACCTCTCATCTCCTTCTGCAGCCCCCATCGCTGCCTCGTTCCACAGGCCAAAGCTGCTGAAGCCGCAGAGGAAGGTCACCCTGGTAAGTGACTCTGCTGGGCCATCTTTGTTCCTCAGGCCTTGAGTGTGCCTCAGGGCCAAACAGGTAGACTCAAAACATGCTGAAAGTTCTTGGTACTTCTGTCCCCAAACTCGTGTGCTCTCTCTCAGCTCAAGTTTTTTGAGTCCCCGACTCAGTTCCTGGAGTGTCTTCAAAAATCTAAATAGAATTCTAAATTCTACTTTTCAAAGCCAAGTGGGAAAAAGCCATACTCAGAAAAGTAGAAATTAGAAAGCGATCCAGCTTGTATTGGCTCCCCTGTTAACTCACTCGGAAGGACCCTGAGATTTGTAGTAGGGTTGCAGGGCACACAGTGTCCCACATGCTCTTCTCCCCACCTTCTCTGCACGTTGGCATCTTACGTAGCTAAGGTGTCTGCCCAGCCAAGACCTCGCTACCAATATCTATCTGTTACCTACTCAAGCCTTCAAGCCATCTCAGCAAATTTTCCAAGGATGTTCTTTTTCCATCCCTGGATCTAATCAAGGATATCACATTGCATGTAGATGTTATGCTCCTCATTTTCCTCCAAACAGGGTCAGCACCCCCCCCCCATCCTTCCCTCTGCTCCTCCCTCCCTCTTCTTTCCTTTCTTCCTGGCAGTCATTTTTTAGCATGCCTTTTAATTTGGCTTTGCTGGTGCTTAGACATGAAGGTGTGGATCTGGGGAAGACCAGTGTTAAGGCAGAGGTGAAGTTTCCTTGCTGTTGCATGGTACAGGCCTTGTCATACTCATACAGTGGCTGCCACCATGCAGGACGCCCCCTGAGGCTCCCAATGGACACCTGAGCCTGCAGGCAGTGCTGAGCTAAGCCCTGTTCCAACTTCATTCTCCTATACACATGTATGTACCTACAGTAGAGCTGACTTTATATATGGGGCACTGTAAAGAGATTAATGACAACAGTGATATAGAGTAGAGCAGTTGCAGTGTATTATAATACTGTTCTGTATTATATGAACACGTGATTGCACACATCACTGTGACCCATTGTGGCATTTCCACACCTGCACACATCACATGCTGATCCCATCCGCTCACTCTTCTGCCCTTGCACCCTCCTTCCCAACCCGTCTTTCTACTTTCAGGTCATCTTCTGTCCCTTAGTTTGTGTAGAGAAAAGAGAACTTGCGATACTTGCCTTTCTATGTCTGTCTTGCATTGCTTAATATGATGTCTTCTGGTTTCATTTGTTTCCTTGCAAATGACAAGGCCTCATTCTCCGCATAGCAGGTAATCTTCCCCATTGTGTACATGGGCCACATTTGTTCTCCTCCACCTCCCGACTGATACCTAGGCTCGTCTTGATTCCTCATCATTGTGGACAATGCCACTGTATCAGGATGACCGGAAACACACCAGATACTTACATTTCAAAACTGGGTAATGACACATGCCACAGGTCCCCCTCAAAATACTCCCCTGCTCTTCAGGTGCCCTGTTCCCACAGTTCTTGCCACTTTCTGATGCAGTTCTTGATGTCTTTATTTTTTATTTTTCAATAATTTTATTGAGAAACAAATAGCAAAACCAATTGCTAGCACAGTTTCAAAACCAATTGCTAGCACAGTTTCAATAATTAATACATTGCATATTGTTGTCTTAGTGGTTATTCATTGTACAAGATGCAGACATGATACCTGTTCACAAACACTATTCGAACAAATCTCTCTTTTCATTGAATTAAGAGAATGCAGCTGTATATCTATCTTAACTATTTTGAATATACAGATACAAAATAGTCCTTCATTTGTATCCCCTTTTTTGTTTAGTTTTGTCAGATATGGGTATTCCATTGTCATTTAAATATTGTAGGTGCAAGAATTCAGCGAAATATTCTAATATAGTCCAGTAGACCATAATAGTATTGGGTTTTCTGTAGGACTGGCAATGTCAGGAGTTGTTGACTTGAGTCTTTTACAACTTAGCATATTCATATGACTTTACTTTTTATACTTCATTTTTATACTTTTCTGCTGGATGGTTATGACCAAGATAAAGCAAGACCTATATAACAAGAAATGTAACTTAGGTACCTCACAAGGTCAGTCAAATCTCCTCAACGTCTTTAGCTGTGCTGCCCTGATGTCCTGAACTCGTGGAAAATATTTCCCTTTCACCATCTTCTTGACTTTGGGGAAGAGCTGGAAGTCCCACAGCGCCATCCAGGATTAGGCTGGATGAGGGAATACTGTCCTGTTTCTACTTCACAGAAGCTGCTATAAATTTTTGATCAATGAGACACCATAAGAAATACAGCAATTGTTTAAATTTTAAAAATTATTACAATAAAAACTGTTATGAGTTCCCCTCAAAATGGTCAAGATGCTCCCCCTCGCTTTGTTCTTGGCCTTCTGTCTTCTACAGCAGTGTTTTTATTTAAGCATTTGTCATGTTTTCCAGGCATCCCTTGTGAACATGGGATTGCAGGTTTCCACAAGAGTGGCTTAAAACTCAGCCAATTAACTCTTAAGACTTGTTTACTTTTGGAGTTTCCCTGTCACTGTCTTTAGGCTGAGGATGACTATAGGTAACTGGAAGTTTACCAGAGTTTATCAAGGCTCAGAAGGGCCTACTGTGTGTCCTGTGAGTGTGGTGTCCCTCTCGGCCTACAATTAAGGTTCAGGCCTCCAAGCTCCTTTCCTGTACAAAGTCTGCTTTTCCCTTGCTGGGCTCTGTGTGCTGGAAACCAGTCCCAAGTCCAGTTCACAGCCAGGAGAGTCACATCCCCCTCCCTCAAGGGACAGGGATTAGGAATTGTGATGTGCTAAAGCCACCCAGAAATCAGTGATTATTTGGGGGAGAAGTGTTAAGACTATTACATATTCACCTTTTCCTGCTCCATTTGCTTGTGGTAGTGCCTTCAGCCCATGAAGGTGGTGGCTTCCTGCTTCTCCCAGGCCTTCCGTGGACGCCACTTGAAATTCTTCCCCAAGAAGAAGCTGTCCCTTCTCGTTTCTCACATCCACCTTAATCCCTTGGTGTCAGTACAGATGCATAGATATTTAACATTTCTACTTCTTAGTCATATTGTGACTGGATAGCTAATGTGGTTCAACAGTTGTATGTGTTGGTGTGAGAGAGATTGTCCGCGGTGCTTACCGAAGTGTCTGCATACTGCAAAAGGCAGGCTCTCGAGATTCCATTGGCTGGTGTCTTCTTCACCCCCTCATATTTAGTTCCCAAAATAAGATCCCTCACTCCCACTCCAGTTTTGCATATGAAGGCACAGAAACTTAGTCTAGAAAAGTGCGAGCATCCTACATCTTCCTGGGGGAGAGAGTGTCATCAATCTTGTGTAGAGCAGCTTCCTCCAGTCTACAGCCTAAGGGACCCCAACTTTCCTTTCCCCATTAAACATAAACAATAATCACTTGTGCAATTCTTGGGTGCAAAAATGCTGTCTGAAGCATCTTTTGCTGCCACTCATCAAAAGACTGCATTCAAGAGCATTGCTCAGAAACAACTGCTCCCAATCACAAGATTTCATTATTGACATTTCTCCGTGCATGCGTGCATGTGTATTGGCTTGCTTTCCTACATGGGGACTTGGGACAGGAAATTCTTCATTTTCACAGAAAGTAGGTAGGGGTGCTTAGATACATTTCAAAAGGATTGTTTTGTGGAAAGACTCCCAATAACAGTTCTTCAAATACCAAATTATCCTTCGATCACTGAAGAGAAGAAGGCATTGAAAATATTTTGAACCTAATTTTCCAGGAGCAAGTGCATTTGGCCAGTAGTGAACACTGATAACAACTCATCATGAAGAAATGAGCTGACCTCCACTGGGCCTCTGAACAGCAGTTTAGAATCAAAAATACCAGGCCCAGCGTCTGCAGATTTGGTGACTACTAAGATGTATTTTCCCTGGGGCAGCGCTGACCTCACTCTCAGGGTGGTCAATATCTATCTCTGGGTCAATAAGTCTTGATGGAGGCTGAACCTGGAGGCAGAGCCACTTGTTGACTTATGCAGCCATAGTGGGTAGTTCAGCAAGCAACGCAGAGATGTTTTAGGGTACAGGGAACTGGCCGGGTGCAGTCAGGTGCTGAATGCCATCACTGTCATGCTTTGTCATCTCCATCTCATGTCAAACAGTGCTTCCTGCCTTCTGGCCTTTCTTCCTGGAAGCCAACCACCTTCCTCAATGATACCACACAGTGAGTTTTGTGCAGATAGCAGCCCTTCCTTGTGCATCTGCTGGGCACACACTTCTCTTCTGGGTGATTTATGGTTCTGTCTTACTGCTCTGAACATGACTTTATGTTTGGAAACCCTCACCCCCGGGATGACCAAGATGGTGTCTTCTCTTGTGTTTCCAGGAGGACAGGGCAGTTTGCAGGAAGCATGGCTGGCAGAGAATAATAGTGGGGAAAGCCATAGAGAGACAATAGCACTTTGGAAGCAAAAAGAAGGGAGAAAGGCATTTTAGACTTTTTATAATCAAGGAGCCAGAACAGCCCTTCTTCCCTCTCCCCTTGTTTGTTGATGAATAAGTCACAAGCAGCAGCGTACTCTCCTCTGGACAGCAGTTCCTTCCTGAGTGACCCGCAGTGCAGCTGCTTCATCTAAGAAGTCTGAGTGTGGACAGTGACGGGACAGGGAGGGAGCCCCATCACAAAACACAAATGGTGGGCAGGTGTGGCTCAGTGGCAGTGTCTACCAGGTGTGTGTGAGGCCCCAGGTCCCCTCCCTGCACCAAACACCAAACTGAAGCCCTTCCAGTGCTGGATTCACAGTGTGCTGTTCCTGCGAGTGGGAATTGGCTTGCAGAGCTCCAAAACCTGCCAGGGCCCCAGAGACCTCCTAGTTTAGCTCTCTGCCACTTGGCTCGGGGGCCAGGGATGGAGTTTGTTCTTGTCCAGGCAAAGCTGTCCATGCTTTTTTGCTTCTAAAGAAACAGAGAGATCCAGAAGCACATTTGATTTTGATTGCATTAGGCCAGTTATTGATTTAGAGGCTGAGTAGAATACAAAAA